TACAATTGTTAGATCTTCTTGTTGGATAGACCTTTTAAGTAAGATATAGTGTCCTTCTTCATCTCTTATTACAGTCTTTGTTTTAAAATCTAATTTGTCTGATATAAGGATTGCCACCCCAGCTTTCTTTTGGTGTCCATTAGCATGGTAAATGGTTTTCCACCCCCTCACTTTCAATCTGGGGATGTCTTTGGGTCTAAAATGAGTCTCTTGCAGACAGCATATGGATGGGTCTTGTTTTTTAATCCAATCTGATAGCCTGTGTCTTTTGATTGGGGCATTGAGCCCATTTACATTCAGGGTAACTATTGAAAGATATGAATTTAGTGCCATTGTATTGCCTGTAAGGTGACTGTTACTGTATGTTGTCTGTGTTCCTTTCTGATCTATGCTGCTTTTAGGCTCTCTCTTTGCTAGAGGACCCCTTTCAATATTTCTTGGAGGGCTGGTTTTGTGTTTGCAAATTCCTTTAGTTTTTATTTGTCCTGGAAGCTTTTTACCTCTCCTTCTATTTTCAATGACATCCTTGCTGGATATAGTATTCTTGGCTGCATATTTTTCTCATTTAGTGCTCTGAAGATATCATGCCAGTCCTTTCTGGCCTGCCAGGTCTCTGTGGGTAGGTGTGTTGCCAATCTAATGTTTCTACCATTGTAGGTTACACATCTTTTCTCCCGAGCTGCTTTCAGGATTTTCTCTTTGTCTCTGAGACTCATAAGTTTTACTATTAGATGTCGGGGTGTTGATCTATTTTTATTGATTTTGAGAGGGGTTCTCTGTGCCTCCTGGATTTTGATGCCTGTTTCCTTCCCCACATTAGGGAAGTTCTCTGCTATAATTTGCTCCAATATTCCTTCTGTCCCTCTCTCTCTTTCTTCTTCTTCTGGGATCCCAATTATTCTAATGTTGTTTCATCTTATCGTATCACTTATCTCTCAAATTCTGCCCTCGTGATCCTGTAGTTGTTTATCTCTTTTTCTCAGCCTCTTTATTTTCCATTATTTGATCTTCTATTTCACTGATTCTCTCTTCTGCCTCATTTATCCTAGCAGTTAGTGCCCCCATTTTTGATTGCACCTCATTAATAGCCTTTTTGATTTCGACTTGGTTAGATTTTAGTTCTTTTATTTCTCCAGAAAGGGTTTCTCTAATAACTTCCATGCTTTTTTCAAGCCCAGCTAGTATCTTTAAGTCCTGATTCTGAACTCTAGGTCCGACATCGTACTAATGTAGTATTGAGTAGGTCCCTGGCAGATGTTACTACCTCTTGTTCTTTTTGCTGAGGTGATTTTTTTCATCTTGTCATTTTGTCCAGAGGAGAACAGATGAATGAGAGAACAAAATGCTAACAGGTTAACAACGTCCCCAGCAAATGTACTCTATACAAATCAGAAAAGACCTGAAACCAGGGGAAAAGAAAGGGAAAGAAAGAGAAAAGAAAGAGGAAAAAAAAGAAAAAAAGATAAACAAAAACAGAACAAAACAAAAAAAAAAAACAGAATATGATCAAATATGATCAGGCTAGTGCATAGATCAGTGCCACACACTAGATTTTGGGTGTATTCTCGTCTGTTAGAAGAAAGTGCCTCCTAAAATTTTAAAAGAAGAAAGACTTATATATGTACAAACTAAGGGTTGATACAATGAAGGGATGGAAGATGACTGTAAAGATGAAACTTATAAAAGGTTTTATAAACGGAATTGATAAGAAGTTGTTTGAAAGAAGAAAGAAGATTTAAAAAAAAGAAAAAAAATGGGAGAGACTGTGATCAGGCAGGAGACTAGAACAAAGCCATACACTAGAGATTTAGGGTATATTTTGATCTGTTAGAAGAAACTGTATATCAAAATTTTAAAGAGAGAAGAACTTATATATATATGCCAAAAATAAGGGTAACTACTATGAAGGGATAAAATATGACTCTAAAAATGAAAAATAAAATATTTTTTTTAAAAAGGGATTGATAAGATGTTGGTTGAAAAAGGGAAAAAGAAAAATTCAAAAAAAAAAACAGTTAAAAAAATTAACTTTGAAAAACTAATATTAGAGTCATGGTACAAAAGCCGTGAATTCTATGTGCAGTATTCCCCTAGCGCTGGAGTTCTCCCGTTCTCCTTCATCGGTAAACTTGGTCTTGGCTGGCTGTTCTTGCTGATCTTCTGGGGGAGGGGCCTGTTGCCCCGGTTCCCAAATGTCTTTGCCAGAGGCAGAATTGCCCTGCCCTTGTCGGTCGGGGCTAAGCAAGCTGCTTGGGTTTGCTCCTAGGAGCTTTTGTTCCCTGCAAGCTCTCGGCACAGCTTTGGAGGACCAGGGTGAAAATGGTGGCCTCCCACTCTCTGCCCGGAGGAGCTGAGAACTCGGGGCCCCGCTCCTCAGTGCGCCCCCAGAGAAAAGCAGTCAATCACTCCCGTCTCACCGGTCTCTGGCCGCATTCCGCGCTCACTCAGCCTGTGACCGAGCGTTTCTATTTCTGGCACCCGACCCTGTGTGGAGTCTCCAAATCCAGCAGATCCCTGCGGTGTGCTCCCGTGCCGCTCCTCCTGCGGGAGGGAGGGGAGTCTCTCCGGCTCTGCTGCTTGTTGGGTACCTGCTGGAGGAGCAGTGGCCCGAGTGGGCCAGGGATCACAGTTTATGGCCACCCCGAGCTGCAGGCCTGCGCCTCGGCTCCGTCTCTGCAGCTGGCTTCCCCGCTCCAATACCTGGGAGCTCTGCTGCACTCAGGCACCCCCGGTCTTTCTGTGACCCCGAGGCTCCTGAGACCACACTGTACCGCGAGGTTTCCACCTCCCGCTTAGCCACTGGAGTGACATCCCTCAGCGGAACCGACTTCTAAAAGTTCCGATTTTGTGCTCCGCGGCTCTATCACTTGCCAGAAGCGGCGGACGGAGGCCCCCTCCCCCGCCGTCTATCCTCCCGAATATCGCCTCAGATTCACTTCTCCGCACGTCCTACCTTCTAGTAAGTGGTCGCTTCTCCTGTTCAGAGAGTTGTTGCTACTCTCTTCTTTGATCTCCTGTTGAGTCGTAGGTGTTCAGAATGGTTTGATCCCTATTCAGCTGAATTCCTGAGACCAGACGATATCCAGGTCTCCTACTCCTCTGCCATCTTGCTCCACCCCTACCTTAAAAAAATGGTAAACCTGTATTTTAACCCTGGATTTTCCATCATATACCTGTGTGAACTCAGCATGTTATTTAACCTCTCATAGCCTTGGTTTCCTTATTAATAAAGTGAGGTATGGTTAAACTACATCAGTGAATTTGAAATGAGTTCCTTCAACCAACATATATTTTATCTCTCAAGCACTGTGTGGGAATGGGGAAGTTATGAATCTCTGGACCAGGTGAGCTCTTGAGTTTAGTTGGCTAAAATTAGCTGTATAAATGCTATTCTTTATTTTGGAAGATCAGGCTGAAAGAAGAAAATTATATGGGAAATAGGTAAGCAGTGATCTGATTAGGGCAGAGTAAGCCATACACAGTGAGAAGAAAATCTTAGGGTACTAGATGAAAGAGATTAAAGAATGATAGCAGAATGCAAAAATTTAACATAAACATTTGATCCATCATCTTTTTTTCTGAATTAATTTTTATTCCACATGCCACCTCTGGCTGGTAGTAGCCTTCTGGATCTCTATGTTGAAATAAACATTGAGCCAGCATTTGCTGATCAGGGAAATGTGTGATCAGTTTTCACTGTCTGAATTGCTTGTGGGAAAAATAAATGTGCCACACATGTGCTCTCCCTGCAATTAGACATGGTAAAGTGCATGGGCTTTTGAAAACTGTTTTCATTTAAATAAAATCCTAGTGAAGAACAGAAGCAACTACCTATAACACCATTTAGTAAAAGAACAAACAGAGGTACACATTTTAGTAATCCCTGAAGAGCTACTATATTACAAATTAGAGTAGTTGAAATTATTTCCTGATTCATTAGTAAGAATTCTTAAATTAGGGCACCTCGCTGGCTCAGTCTGAAGATCCTGTGACTCTTGATTTTGGGGTCATGAGTTTGAGCCCCATTCTTGGTGTAGAGATTACTTAAATGAATAAATAAATAACTTTAAAAAATCTTAAGTGTAATATATAAGTAGCATTGCTTTTGAGAGCTGATAAATTTTTGGAAATTACAGATTAAGCAAGTTTCAATGGGTGCTCTTCTCCCATTGCATTCTTTCACTCAAAGTGTTGAGTTTTGTGGATAGGTAACAACAGCGAGAAACTATGTGTGTATTAAAGGGAGGAAGCAGTATGAAAATAAATTGTCTAGACTCTGCAAATTTATTTATTTAATCAAATATTAAGTACCTACTAAATGCCAAGTATTGTTCTGAGTCCTGAGGGGACTGTTTTCATGAAAGTAAATAAAGTAAATAAGTAATATCAGATAGTAATAAGTGCTATGAATAAAAATAAAGAGGATTGAGAAATTCAGAGGGCTATATTAGAGCAAAAGCCTTTCTGATAATGTCATTTTAACAGAGCCCTGAAGATAGGGAAGGAGACAAGGAAATATGCAATTGTTATTAAAATATTTTTGTTAAAATAACATTTGTGACTTAAATTATTGTATTTCACTTATTTTGGATAAATGAAATATTTTATTTTGTATATTGACAATACTAAGGTTTGTTTGGTTTTGTAATTTTTCTGATACTTTAAAAAGTAAATTTTAGTTAATTCCTAAATATTGATTCTCGTTCCAAACTATTTGTCCGGTAAATGAAAGAACAGTGGTACATTGCTTACTAATTAATTACAGTTTTTAAATTATCCCACAGATTTAGTATGAATAAAACCTTTCATTCTTTTATATACACCTTTATATTTTATTTTAAAACTGCCACCCTTACTACTAAAATAAACCAAATTACTAAACTACAAAAAATACTATAATTTTTATGTATAATTGCAGAAATGTCAATTGAAAACCATATGGAATGGGGCTGTTTGGTTTACTTTAATGTTTCTTTTTGTGTTCTCTTTTTAAAGATTGAAACACAGTTATCAGAGTATCACAAGTTGGCCAGAAAACTAAAACTTATCCCTAAGGGTGCTGAAAATTCCAAAGGTTATGACTTTGAAATTAAGTTTAATCCTGAAGCTGGAGCCAACTGCCTTGTCAAATACAGAGCTCAAGTTTATGTAAGTAATCATAAGTACTTCAAAAGATTTTTAAATGATATGACTAATGTCTTGTTCATTTATTTATAAGAGTTTAAACCTCAGCATGTTCATAACTGAGGACTGAACATAGAAATAAAACACTGAAACTTTTAATCTTCCTTCATTTTGGTACTTAAGTCTCTATTGTCCCATCCTCTTTGAATTATAAAGCCTTTTCTTTCTCTCTACCTACTTCATTTACTCAGCTAACCAAAAGAATCTTTGATTATATTAAATATAGACACTAGGATTATAAAGAGAAAAATTACCTGACCCTTGCTGTTAAGTGGCTACTTAGAGAAGAGAAAGACTTAAATAAATAATTGCTATATATGTGCTTTATTAGAGATGTTAACAAGGTATGGTACTGAGATCAATTCTTGCCAGAATTGAGGGGAAAGAAAAGTGTCCAAAGAGATGGTGAGTCTGGAATGAAATCTTGAAAGTTGAGGTATTTATTTGGATGGTCTGTGGGGAAAAAGCTTCAGGCACAAGGACACACATGAAGGCATGTGTGAAGGCATGAAATATAATAAGGCATTAAGAAACACCAGCAGTCAATAATAAAAAATCTGCACCTAATTTTTAAATATGGCCAATGATGTAATTTGGAGAAAATTTTTAAATCGTTCTATGGCAACTTCTCAATTATTCACAGATTTTAGTGTTTTAGTGGCCCCCTCAAAAATGGCACTCTTCAAAATATGTAGTTTTTGAATAAAGAATGTCAGAGTCTAAAGCTATGCATTTTTCCCTTGAGAATCATTCATTCATTCAATAAATTATTGATTAAGTACATACTATGCTCCATACCAGCTAGGTGCTGGAGATGAAATGCCCAGAAAGATACAATTTCCAGAGATCACAGTTTATTGGTGAACAGACTTTGATTAAATAAAGCTAGACTCATTTTCAATAGAAAAAAATCCACCCAGTAAACATAGTCTTTTACTGAATTGTTTTTTAAGCAGTAGCTAGGTCGGTAGGTAGACAGACAGGCTGGCAGCCAGATAGTTTACGCACCCACTATTTTGAGTAGTTTGACACATGCAAGAAAATAATTACCTGCATCAAATCAGTGTGGAAAGGATTACCCAATACAAAAAGAATTCACGTTGTAAGAGAAGAGGGAAAGGCTTTATTGTGATCTCTGAAAATAGTTTTACATAATAATAGAACAATAAAAATAGAAATAGCATCCAGAAGGAGCAACCCCAACTGTTACAAGTAGTATTTGGAGAAAAGTTCTTAAAGAGGCATTGCATCTTTCAAAAAGGAGCAGCCAAAATTAAAACTCAGCAATAACTTTAAAAGACCTACTAAAAACATAGTAATACACGGGGTTTTCTTTTGGTGATGAAGATGACTTGGAATGAGAGGTGGTGTTTATACAACACTGAATGTACTAAATGCCACTGACCTATATGCTTTAAAAGAGGTAGTTTTATGTTAAATTCATTTTAACTTAATTATTTCAATTTAATCATTTTAAAGTGTGAGTTTGACCTCAATAAAAAAATAATGGAAACAATGAAGTACTGTGTTGAAAGAAAATTAGTAGAATAGAGGATAAACATAAGAAATACAAGCAATAAGAGCTTCAAGGTTGGTGAACACATGGAGATGCAGGGCACACCCAGAGGCTATGGAAGCTCTGCACCGCTTCTAAGTACCTTGCCCTATGCATCTTTTCCGTCTGGCTGTTCCTGACTTTGATCATTCTTAAATGAACTGGTAAACATTTGCCTGTTCTGGACACCCACCTTGCTTTTATTCCCAGAACAACCCACCCTGGCGATCTCTCTGCAGTAGTATGTCAAGGTCTTCCTGGTTCTTTTTGCAGTCTCAGAGTCTTCATTGTGTAGCTTATTCAACCAGTCCTGGCTGGTGGACATACGCTATGTGTCAAGTCTTGTGCTACTAAAACAGAATACCAATGAATAGCAGAAAGAAGAAATACAAGCAGATAATTGTAAGATTAAACAGTTGAAAAGGATTAAGAGAAAAATATAAATTGTTTTCAAGAAAGATACTGTATTAATACAAGCGTACTTATAAAAAATGTTTAAATAATAGCAGTGAATCTCCAGAATCCATAAGCAAATCTAAAATTTTGCAAGTATTCAAAACTAAAAGCAAGTTGCCTTCTATAGTTACAGAAATTACATTGAAAATTAGTTTTATTGGCACTCCTGTGTGGCTCAGTCAGTTGAGCATCATCTTGGTTTCTGCTTAGGTCGTGATCTCAGAGTCGAAAGATGAAGCCCTGTGTCAGGCTCCTCACTCAGCGGGGAGTCTGCTTGAGATTCTCTCCCTCTACCTTTGCCCTTGCCCCTGCATGAACGCTGTCTCTCTCTCTCTCTCTCTCTCTCTCTCTCTCTCTCTCTCATAAATCTTTAAAGAGAAAAATTACTTTTATTGTCTTATTTATAATGTATTAATTTAGTTTGAAACCATCATGGCTTCACTTTTTTCCCTCCAAAAGTGGTTCCTTCTATCACAATGTGTAGATGCCTCATGAGAAATTTTGTACTTAGGTATATCATATGTAACCCATATTCCTATATATTTTATAGGTACCACTCAAGGAACTCTTGAACCAAACTGAAGAAGAAATTAATAAAGCTCTAAATAAAAAAATGGGGTTAGAGGATACTTTAGAACAGGTAAGTAACAAAACAGTTTTTAAAAGCAAAAATAAGATTTTTTAACACTTAAATGTGGTTTGTAGTTTCTATGGAATGAATGTGCAGCTCTTAAGGAATGAATTTTTAATAAGATATTATGGAAAATGAGAATTGGAGATACCCTTGACTTAGAAACATTTGAAGTAATTTTTTAAATAACTTAAACATCTTAGGCTACACATATCATTGGTGATGAAACAATAAATTACTGAGTAAATTATCCTGGATTTTAAATGGAGAACTGCCTCCTTCAACTTGAGATAATTTAATATCCCTTTTTTTTTTTTAAGTTTTATATTAAGTAAATCTCTACACCCAACATGGGGCTCAAACTCAAGACCCTGAGATCAAGAGTTGCATGCTCTTCGGACTGAGCCAGCCAGGAGCCCCTTAATATCTCTTTATACTATAAGGAATTTGAGATGGCTATCTTAAAAGTAGATATGTATCATTTGGGGCTTGAGGCTAAGTAGCCATGATAAATTAAGAGTTTTATTAACCACACTTTTCATTCTGCACCATGAAATTCAGGGGAACTCAAATGCCTATAAAAGTCTACTTCCAAAAGTAGGTTTCAGAAAGTTCCTGCTTCTAAGATACTTGAAACATAAAATGACCAATATCCCTAAGAGAGATATTGATTCTATTATTGATTCAGTAACCTTTAAATATTGTTAAAGTTGATTAAGAAAAAGTTAAGAAGCTACTTCTCAACTACACACAAAAGGTATTGTTTATATGACAACAAACAATTGAAGGAAAACCCTAGTTAATTCAGCTCTTCAAGAAGTATTGTGGCATTTCAAGATTCCAAGATACAAAATCCTGTCTTTACTCAGAACAGAAATTTGTTTTTCTCATCTGGAAATAAAACCTATGCATTTCACAAATTATGCAAGTAACCCACATTTTTTTCATGTTAACAAATTCTATCAAAACTTACTTTGTATTAGAAAGAATTACCACTCCTCAAAAACATAGCAAATAGGGGGCGGAGCAAGATGGCGGAGGAGTAAGAGACCTAGATTTCGTCTGGTCTCAGGAATTCAGCTGAATAGGGATCAAACCATTCTGAACACCTACGAACTCAACAGGAGATCAAAGAGGAGAGTAGCAACAACTATCTGAACAGAGAAGCGACCACTTACTGGAAGGTAGGACGTCCGGAGAAGTGAATCCGAGGCGATATTTGGGAGGATAGACGGCGGGGGAGGGGCCTCCACCGGCCGCTGCTGGCAAGTGCTAGAGCCGTGGAGCACAAAATCGGACCTTTTAGAAGTCGGCTCCGCTGAGGGACGTCGCTCCAGTGGCTAAGCGGGGGTGGAACCCTCGCAGGACAGTGGGGTCTCAGGACCCTCGGGGTCACAGAAAGACCGGGGAAGCCTGAGTGCGCCAGAGCTCCCAGGTATC